AGGGGGCAAGGAGACAAACCCACAAAATCAACTAAACTGGACTCACAGAAACTGACCCAACAATCAGGGAGAAGCCTGCATGGGACTGACCTAGGCCCTCTGCATATATGTTAGGGTTATATACTTTGGTCTTCTTGTGGGACTCCTAACAGTGGGAGTGATAAGGGGGTCACAGGGGTGGGGTGGGGGTGGGGGGATGAACTGGGAGGAGAGGAAGGAGTGGAAATGGCAGTAAGAATGCAAAAAATACAAATAAAAACCATTTTAAAATTAAGTTGTCATTACTGCAAACTAATCTGTTTAATCTGTTAGTTGTCATCCTTAATTTCTAGTGAGAATCTATTGTCATCAGAGAAGCATTGTCCAATAACTGATGGGAGCAGATGCAGAGACCCACAGCCAAACACTAGGAGAAGCCAGGGTAACTCCACATAAGAGGAGGAGGAAGGCTGGGCAGTGGTGGCACACACCTTTAATCCCAGCACTTGGGAGGCAGAGGCAGGTGGATCTCTGTGAGTTTGAGGCCAGCCTGGTCTACAGAGCTTGTTTCAGGATAGCTAGGGCTACACAGAGAAACCCTGTCTTGAAAAATAAAATAAAATAAAGAGGAGGAAGGGCTGTAGGAATGAAGAGGGGTCAAGGATGCCACAAAAACAGAATCAACTAAGCAGGGCCCATAGGGGCTCACAGAGACTGAAGTGACAAACACAGACCCTGTAAGGGTCTGAGCTAGGTCCACTGCATACATGTTATGGTTGTTAGCTTAGTGTTCTTGTGGGACTCCTAACAGCGTGAATGGAGGATATGTCTGACTCCTTAGCCTGCTCTTGGGGCCACTTTTCCTCCTAACAGGCAGCCTCATCCAGCCTTGTTATGAGAGTTTGTGCCTAGTCTTATTGTAAATTGTTATTATGTATTCTGTTGATATCCCTGGGAGGCCTGTTCTTCTTTTTTCTTTTGAAGGGAAATGGGGGAGAACAGTGGTGCAAGTGGGAGGGGCTGGGAGGAGTGGAGGTAGGGGAAACTGATTTGATTTCACACACACACTGATGGGGGTGGGTGAGAGGGAGAATAAAAAAGTTAATTAAAATGACATACTAGACAAATCTAATTCCACAAATGAGTAAAATAATAGATGTAAATCCTATCTTATCAAAATAACCTAATACATTAAAATAAGCAAACTAAAAACTTCAATCAAAAAGGCATGAGAAGCTACACCCAGAGTCTCAAAAATACAGTTGCCTAAAAAAGACCTGCATGATACAACCACTAACTGACATGCCAAAATTTGCAACAATAAACAGGCTTTGCATATAAACACACAAACACTCACATCAATTAATGTATGCTTGCACATAAATGCTGTGCAACACTAAAAGGACTGATCAGGTTCTCTATATAAACAAACACACAAACACATACACACATGAATTTAAGAGGGAATGGAATTTAGTTTGAACCACTCCTTATCTGGTAGAACTATGTACTTTTGCATATTTATAAATTTCCTTTGTCTTATTAATATTAATTTTCTTTTATTTCATTTAAAATAGAAATAATGAGTAGATATCTTTAGTTTTTCTTCTTTTGGTGACAAATTTCAGTCTTTCACCACTATTATAATATTAAGTATTAACATAAATATAACAAGATAAATTCGGAAAGGAATGTGAAGGTTAGCAAGTGGGGAAGAGGATACTCCTTTGAATAATTGGTGCTCAAGCATTCATGGGAAGAAAGGTCAATCTCACTCTAGATCTCATGTTATAAAAATGCCACGTCAAAATGGATTACAGATCTAAATATAAAATGTGTAATTATAAAACCACAAGAAGAAAATACCAGAGAAGGTCTTTTAGAGCAGCAGGTATTAGGGAGATTTCTTAATTCTTACACAGTCATATGTCTGCACATACAACTGATAAACTTGACAAGAATTCAAAGCATTTTCTCTGAGGAGCAAGACCTATATAATAAAAGCTAGAAGATGCAGTTGAAAGAACTAAAAAAAATCAAAAATGACACAACAGATAAGTACTCACAATCATTTAGAAGACAATAGTTTTCAGTCCCCACTAGTCAAAGCTCTCTACAGAGTCAATTCATTCCCTTAAAAACTGTCAATGATTTGATTTTGTAGAAATAAAACAGTCTACTCTAAAAATACATATGTAATCTTAAGGGACTACCAAAATAATCAAGACAATGTGAAAAAATTACTGTATTACAGATTATTACTTCCTGATTTCAAAACTTACAACAAAAATTAAAAGAGCATGCTACATTCCAGGTGTAGAGGTGCACGCCTTTAATCCAAGCACTCTGGAGGCAGAGGAGGGTGGACCTCTGTGAGTTTGAGGCCAGCTTGGTCTACAGAGTGAGCTCTAGGACAGCCAGGGCCACCCAGAAACCTTGTCTCAAAAAGAGGAAAACAAAACAGCATGCTTTTGGTATCACGCCAGACACATACAGCACTAAAGGGCCCAGAAATAAACTCTCATCCATATGGTAAATGATCTTTGAACAAAGCAGTAAGATCAATCAGTGCAGAAAGAACAGTCTTCAAAAAATGACCCTGGGAAAATTGAATAGCAACAAGTGACAGGATCCTTATCTTAAGCCATATGCAAAATGTAAGTCAAAATGATCAAAGAGCTAAACAGACCAAAAACTGTAACAACTTAGAAGGTAACAGAGAAGAAATGCTTTTTTATATTGGATTTGGCAATGACTTCTTAGATATGCTAACAGAAGCATAGATAAAAGGAGAAAAATGAGAAAACAGGCATTAATGGATACTATGAAGAGTAAAAAGCAGACACAGAGCAAGAGAAAATATTTACAGATCATGTATCTGAGAAGTGATTAATATCTAGATACTTGAATGGATATTTATTCAGAGAAGATACATGGCCAAATAGTATATGATGAAACAATAAATAGCAGCACTTATTAGGGAAATGCAAATCAAAACTATAATGAGATATATCATACTCTTTAAAGTAGCAATTATCCAAAAAGAGAAAACCCCCAAAATAACATGTGTTCCTGAGCATTTAGAAAACTTGGAACTTTTGTACATTGCTGGTAGGAATGCAAAATGACAGTCTGTATAGAGCACAGTAGGGAGATTCATCAAAAAAACTAAACATAGAATTATTCTAAGATCCAGCAATTCCACTTCTGTCTATGTACACCAAGAACTAAAAGCAGATATCAAACATTTGTACACCAATGTTCATACCAGAATTATTCACAATAACTACAACATGGAAGTAACTGAAGTGTCCACTGATGAATGATGTATATACAATGTATGTATATACAATGTATGTATATACAATGGAATATTATGCAGCCTTAAAAAGGAATGGATTTCTGACACATGCTAAAATATGAATGAACAACCAAGACATTTACACTAAGTAAAATAACCCAATCATTAAAGATAAATATTGCATGACTTTATTTACATGAGTTACACAGAACAGTCAAATTCATGAAAAGTAGAACGGAAGTTGCTAGAAGGGAGAGGGTATGAGGTAAGACAATGCTTTGAATGTGTATAACTTAAAAAGCTCTAGAGATGGGTGGGGCTTAGAGTTACAGAATATGAATATACTTAACACCACAGAAGCAAATACTTAAAATGGTTAAAATAGTAAATTTTATGTTATGTAAATTAAAAACATATTGCTACGAGAATGAAATGACAAGCTCCAGACTGTGAAAAAATATTTGTAAAGCACACATCTGATAGAAGACTGTGTTTAGCATATATAAAGAAATCTCAAAAGTCATTAGGAAGGAAAAACAATCCAATGATAAAACGGCAAAGATGTGAACAGAAATTTTAGCAAACAGGACACAATGATGGCAAAAAAGCACATGGAAGATAGATGCTCAGCATCATTAGCCATAAGAAAAGGCACATTGAAACAACAAGGAGGCATCACTTCACACCTATCAGAACGATCACAATAAATACTGACAATACCAAATGCTGACAAAGATGTAGAGCAAGTCAACTCTCATACACCATTGGTGGGAATGCAAAATGGTACAGCCACTCTGGAAAATGGTTTGGCAGTTTCATATAAAGTTAAATGTGCACTTACCATATGACCCAGTAATCCCACTTCTAGATATTTACCTTAGAGAAATAAAAACTTATGTTCACACAAAAACCTGCACAAGAATGTTAATATCAATATCATTCATAAAGACCATAACCTGGAAAACCCAAATCCACTTCAATACATGAATGGATATGGAATATCCATACAATGAAATGGGACTCCACAGAAATGAATGAGTTATTGATATAAACAACAACTTGGATGAGTCTCAAAAGCATTATGCTGAGTGAAAGAAGCCAGCCTCACAAAGTTACACACTGCATGATTCCATTTATATGACAGTCTCTAAAATATAAAGCAGAAGTAATGGAGATAAGTGATTGCCAGGAACTTGGGGGCACAATGGGAGTGACTCTAAAGAGGGAGAGTATGAGAGTTTGCCTGAGTAATGGAGATGCTCTCTCGCTTGATTGTGGTGGTGGATACATGAAATCTACATGAGTTATACAATTCACAGAATTGTACACCAAAAAAGGCCCCATGCAATTTTACTGTAAGTTCATTTATAATTATCATCATCATCATCATCATCATCATCATCATCATCATCATCAATAGTTACACTGATTAATGATATTCAGAATTATTTGTGAAATGGGATCTAAAATTCAGCAAGGACAATGTAGGTCTGGTACAATAAATGTATAGAAGTAAAAACAAAACTAAATGTAAAATCTTGACAAGTTCTACTAACTCCTCTCTTCAATATTTCATATCAGGACAATATGTTTTCTCTAGATGGTTTCCTATAAACATTGTCATATAGTGAATATGGAATTAAATAAGTGCTCAACTTAGAAGTCTGGGACCCTAGTTTACATTCCTAAATCTAACACTGTAAGAAAACTCTCGACTTGCCTTTTGTGCCTAATTTTATCTTCCTCTTCATTGAGGTCATGTACTTGTCTGCACTTGTCTTTTTGTGGTATGCTGTGAAGGTTTAAAGCAAGGAGTTTCAAAGATAGGAAACAGAACAGAGATACACACACCCCAACCCCCCACCACATTCACAGGTACTGCTCTGATTTCCACATACTACCTCACTTAATCCTCCTAACAACTCTATATCACAGCTACTATTGCTATTCTCATTTCAGAGAAAGAACTTAAGTATAGAAAGGTAATGTGATCAGCATTTCACAGCTAGTAAGTGGGGGAGCCAGGCTTTTCCCAGGCAGTCTCTTTCCAGAGCCTCTGATCACAGTCAGCATGCCATAATGTCTCTCCACAGAAAGCTGTTCATTTGTTCCTTTCTCCCTTACCATTGCCCTGGCACCTGTACAGCCTATCTTTAACACACCATTCAATCACTTGCATGACTTTAACCTATAGACCTAGTTCTGACTTCTCTTCTCAGCTTCGCTGCGTCCATCATTTCTGCAACAATATCTGCATGTGCTAATCCTGCCATCTTCACAAACTCAATCTGTTTAAATGAAACACACCATCTTTTTTCAGATCCCCTAAAGACTTCATTTTACCTACTAAGTTACACAGCTTTGAAATATCTGAGTTAGCTCGCCATATTCCTTGCCACTTCATTCTCAGTGATCTTCGTTCACTCTGTCAGCAGGCTTTATCAATTCTTCTTGTCATATCACACACAACTAATTCCACCTCTCCAGTGCCACTGTCATCATTCCAGTCCACATGTTGGTAAGTCTATGACTTCAATGCCATCCTCTCTTTCCTCTCTCTAATTCTCTTTCTTGGCCACCACATTAATCATTTCCAAATGCTTTCTCATCTTACTATCTTCAAACGTATTAACTGAACAAACTAACTCCATATACCTCTATATTATCAAACAAATAAGAGCCAAAAATTCTGAGCTACCTTTTCAAAATGACACCAATTAACAACCACTCACACCAACCTTTGCAACTGTCTAATAGATAGGGTTAAAAGAGTATTTAAATCTTACCTCTTCTGAGGCCTTTAGTCACACCAATTAAACTCTGAACTTCTATGGCACTGAACCAGTTTATCTAGCATCACTGCTAAAGGGTATATGTATGCATCTTCAAGCTGACTAGTACAAGGCTAGGAACCATTAAACTCTTTCTGCATACCTTCCACCATGCTGAGTAAAATTAGCTACAAATGAATTCTTTCTGGTTAAGACATACTGTTTATGTATATATTTTACATCACTCTACAGTTCAGTCTAAAGACCCATCACAATCTCACTTTGGTTCCCTTTCATGTGCCAGGCGTTATTCCTTGCCATTCCCTGTTTCACTGCCACGCTGAACTACTCACTGTTCCCTACATATAGCAGATCCTTTCATAGTATGGCTCCTATCCATTCACTAGCTGTAATGTCCTTTTCCCTTTACATAAAAAATGCCCGTTGATCTGTTAAGATAGTACAAATGTCAACTTCTGACTCCCCCAACTAGATTTGGATGCTGTGGCATTTATTAAACTCTATAACACTTTCAATGGTGTCATGCAAGTAACTATACACATATTAGTGTCACTCATGGGGCTATATATTTCTCAAGAATAGTAACATCTTGTCTTCCACTAATTTCCCACATCTAATGCTATGATGTTAAATGTTAAAGAACATCTTAAGAGTCAGTGAGGATCCCATACCTTGGTAATAAAGAGCCCTAAGGAAGGAGTGACGATCAGTTCCCTGAAATAAGGACTTTTCAATTTCCATTTCTCGTCGGGTCAGTTGTTTGCTCTTTGAAAACCTCTGTGGCAGGCAAAGGATGCCCTGGAGCTCTGAGATTCTTTCTTCAATATCTTGAAGCCGTTTCTGTATTGCTTCAGGATTTGCCCTCAGCTTTGTCTTCTGAAACCAGGGAAATTAGATGCTTTATGTCAAAAAGCACAAAAGGAAATCTGAGACTTCACATAAGAAAGAAGATGGGAAAGGCCCAGAAATTAAACATGTTCATGTAAGTTTTAGTTAAGGGTTAGCCAACAATTTTTTAGACAATGTTTCTATCTTCGAAAAAAAAAAAGGAAGATTCATATTCAACATTCAGTTTCATGAAAACTAAAAAACAAATGTTCTCGATGACAAAGGAAGCCATCACCATGCTGGGGAGTTCAGCTGTGCCTACCTGCAATTGATCATCCCAGCAGGACTGGTTGATGGTTTGCACACCCCAGGATAGAGGCACAGAGTTGGCATGAGATTTTTCTCTAGGGAGGGCTTGTGGCTATAGGAAAGTCCTCATTGGTGTTGGGGAAGGCTTTCCAGGTACATTGCAAAGGAAGGTGCCCACATCATTGCAGGGGGATGCCCACACTCCTGTAGGCAGTCCTTTACCTAGGCTCTGTAAGGAAGCTCAATAGAATCATTGGTTCTCCATGGTGAACTTCAGCAGAACTGTGCCTTAGTTTGTAGGTTTGTTGTTGGAAGGAGGGGTAGATGTTGCTTTAAGTCTCCCTTGGGGAAGGATTTTTTTTTTTTTTTTTTTTTTTTTTTTTTTGGTTTTTCGAGACAGGGTTTCTCTGTGGCTTTTGGAGGCTGGCCTGGAACTAGCTCTTGTAGCCCAGGGGGGTCTCGAACTCACAGATATCCCCCTGCCTCTGCCTCCCAAGTACTGGGATTAAAGGCGTGCGCCACCAACGCCCGGCATAGGGAAAGAATTTTATCAACACATACACACATACATACATGAAAATACATCTTTTTAAGAAAACAGCTTTCTTACCTTTTCACCTGACACATGGCTTTTCCAGATCAATATTTCTGTTTCATTGAGACCTAGTTCCCTGAGAGAAGCAGTTTCCTGATCTTTTTCATGTAGTGTCTGGAACTGAGACAAAGTCATTGTCCCAGCCACTTCCTTCCCAAAGGGCCTGTACATAGTACCCGGGGCAAAGCTCTCTTTCTTAGAGACACATCTGCAAAACAAAACAAGAGAATAAGAACATCTTGTGGTTTCAATTGACAGTAACCACATTACAATTGTGATGGGGCCTTCCATTATAAAGGGTCCAGTGAAGCTCATAGGCAAAGTCTCTTACATTCTTTTGCCAGAGTGAAGCACCGTGGCAACAAAATGGAGTTCCATGAACAGTTCCCAAATATCCAGGACTAACAAATGACTAAATTAACAAAGTTTACTGAGTACCTGCAATGCATTAGATGCTGTGTTCTGTTCTAACAGTTAACAGTAAAAAGAAAACAAAAATCAAGAAGCTAGAGAGATGGCAAAACAATTAAGGGCTCTTATTGTTCTTGCAGAGGACCTGGACCAGTTCCCAGTACCCACAGGACAGCTTACAACCACCTATAACTCCACAGTTCCAGAGGATAGAAAACCCTCTGGCTTCTGCAGGCAGTGGTACACATATGGTTCACATAACTACTCCTCCCCACAACACACACACACACACACATACACACACACACAAATCTTGTATAAAAAATATCAAAAGAACTGCCACCAATATAAAGAATAGCAGAAGGGGGGAGATAGGAAATGACCATATAGAATTATAAATGCCATGTTAGGGGAAATGAACTGTGCTATACTAGGACATGGTACTTGGTCTAGGCTTACTAAGATATAGGAAGCTTCCTACAAAAAGACACAAATCAAAATCTGACCCATATAAAGAGATCCTCCAAAGGAAGTAGTTGTGTGAGTGGAGTGCTCCCATCAGGCTTTAAGAGGGATGTATAACCTGCCAGTGAGGGTCTATTATAATCTCCCTATTTGCGGATCAATACTCACTCTTCAATGGAGACAGAGGTATCAAGTTGATGTTGAAGGAGGCTCTTCAGCTGCCTCTCACCTTCTGTTTCCAGCTCCTCCAGGACATGCTCTTCATTCTTCACACAGCTATTTACCCTAGAGCAGATGTAAATCACATACACACACACACACACACACACACACACACACACACACACACACACACACAACAAAGGGAAAGTAGAAGAGACATGTAATATGAAAATATATTCTCCTCATTTATATTATCTATCAGTGATCCATTTGTTCAAAGACATTTCTTCAACATTCCACTGCCCTGAGTATTCATTACACAAACATTTACTAAATGCCTATGTGCACAACATGCACTGTGCTAGCTACTTGAACTGGCTAGTTTTACGTTAAATAACACAAGCCAGAATCATTTTGGAAGAGGGAACCTCAGTTGAGATAATACCCCCACCAAACTGGCCTATGGGCAAGCCTATGGTACACTTTCTTGACTGATAATTGATACATGAAGGCCACACTGTGTGCGGTGCCACCCCTGAACTGGTGGTCCTGAGTACTATAAAAAAGCAGGCTGTAAGCAACACTCCTCCATGGCCTCTGCATCAGATCCTGCTTCCAGGTCCTGCCCAGTTTGAGTTCCTGCCCTGACTTCCCTCAGTGATGGACCATGATCTGAGAGTTGTAAGCTAGAATTGAACCCTTTCCTCCCCAAGTTGCTTTTGGTCATGGTGTTTTGTCAGAGCAATAGAAACCCTAACTAAGACACTGGCTTGTAGAAATTAAAGATATTCCAAGCATAGTTTTGACCAAAGAATTTGTAATATATTTAGGGAGAAGATGTATATACTCTTGTGCTGTGTGCATGTGTCTACAAAAGAGAAGGAATCTGAATAAATGATGATAGAGAAACAGGCCCAAATTAGGAAAAAGTTTGCAGAAGAAAGTAGTAAATGGGAACTAAAATGGTAAAGGAAATTTTAGAAAGGTATTTTTTTTCTTTTTTGGTTTCTTGAGACAGGGTTTCTCTGTGTAGCTTTGGAGCCTATCCTGGCACTCACTCTGTAGACCAGAGCTGGCCTTGAACTCACGGAGAGCCACCTGCCTCTGCCTTCCAAGGGCTGGGATTAAAGGTGTGCACCACCAATGCCTGGCTCAGAAAGGTATTTTTTTTTCAGAAAGGTCTTCTTAAATTGGTGTTTGAAAGACTGGGTGTGACGAAGAAAAGAAGTGGGAAGCCAAACATGAAAAGGCAGAGTCACATACTGTGGCATAATTGGAACCTCCATTTAGACTCAGGCTTTGAACAGCCTTAAATATATGAAGTAAGGGATTCTGGACCAAACCTGAGCACATAGGTATCAGAAAGCAATTTCTCACGCCATTAGGTGTCAAAGAATAAGCAGTGTTTTAGGCCATATGGATTGGAAAAGTTCCAGACTATCGCAATAATAGCAGAAATACAAAGTGGGAATTAAACAAGAGTTCTTTTGGATGATGATGTTAAGAAAGTAAAATAATAAATAAGAACATTCAAATTTTAAAATGTTGGTACAGTTTGTCATCATGTTGGTACCAATGAAAGAAAATAGCTCCAGATGGAATAAATGCCTAGGAAAGGGAAAGTCGGTGTCATTAATACCCACATCGAGTTGACTACCTCTTACTCTGAAACAATGGCATGAAGTACACTTCTTAGACACTGAGTCTGAGGTAATAACAAAAGTGGCTGGCTAAAAGGAAAATGAATGATGACACATTCTTACAGGGAGGACAGCCTGATGGTAAACACAGAGAAATCTTAACACCATCTGTGTACACAAGATCTGAAGACATTAGAGAAGACATTCTGAACAGCAGAAAATATAGAGAGTATCTTAATAAATTTCTACTCTAGACACTACTGTGTAGCAAACCACATCATGGCTGTGAACTAATTTCAAGTTATTGAAAACTCTTACTCAAGTACTAAGAAATAACACAACCATTTAATCATATAGTAACCAGAATAGAGAAAACAAACACAAAAGTGAGTTAAATCCATAAGAAAAAGAAATATAATGTTTCTTACAAAACAGATAAACATTATGTTTCTTACAAAACAGACCTTGTCTACTAGGGTTTATAATAAAATATAGAAAAATCACTAATTATATGATTCCTATAAAGACCTATAAATTCTAAAATAACTTACTTTGGAATTAAGGTTAAAAAATCTTTTTAAGCCTTTCCATCTTTATTATTTAGAATCCCAGTTATTGCTAAATTTAATTTTAAAAATGAATAAGCATATCAACACAAATAAATCTATAGAAAAATGTTGTGTTAAAAAAAGCCTGCTACAGAAAAAAAAGACAGTATGCTTCCATTTATATAAGGCTAAAAACAGATGAAACTAGAATATTTTGTTCGGGGATTAAGCTCATATGTGGAAACTATATTAAGAAACAAAACAAAAAAGGCAAGGGAGTAATTGGTGCAAAATCCTAGCTAGAAGGGGGAGAAGCAAACAGGGAAGAGCCAGGAGGGCTTTTGAAAGGTTTATATGTGAATGACCTACTGCTTAAGCCTGCACAGAGGACAGCCCTTTACGATTGTTCTTTAAGCTATACATCCGATCCATTGGTTTTCACGTACGAGGTATGTCATCACAGAATAATTAAAATGTGGTTTTTAATTGAAGCAGGGGAAACCAATAACTTAGAGAAAAAAAAAAAAAAAGATCAGGAAACTAAGAAAGCAGAAAGCATTCCTAAACATGTTAGTCGTGCTGCACTGCTCCAGAGTGAACATTCTCCTGCAGAGTGAATACAAAACTAAGGTGGATCCTTCTTGAAGGAGTCCTGTCCTGTCAATAAGTGGAAGCTCTAGGTCTAAAGGAGGATCACCTCAGGATCAAGGGGTCTTTTACTGCGGAA